GTCTTAAACGATCTAGTGAGTCAAACTGTTTGCTCTACATCGATGACATCAAAGTTTGGCGAGTGATCAGAGCTCCAGAAGACGGTATCCAGCTTCAAATCGACCTTGACAAGATTTATGGATGGTCGGTCCAAAATCGTCTTTTCTTCAATGTGGCTAAATGTCGAGTGCTCCATTTAAGACACCGAATGGTTCACACATAAGCTGAGGGACCAGAATCTGACACAGTTATCTTGAAAACGATCTCGGTGTGTTGGTGCAGGAAGATCTCGACTGCTCGGAGCAGTCCAAAAAAGCATCGGAGGGGATCCAAATCGTGGGGCTTTTACGGAACTTTCTGGCAATCTGAACCGTCGATTTTCCGCTCAATACTTCCCGCTTGTATACGCTCTCATGTTGAATATACAATTCAAACATGGCACCCATGGCTAAAGCGGGATCTCACGGCCTTGGAGCTTCCACAACGTTGGGCGACCAAAATGTCAAAGGGTTGCGCCACTTGTCATACGGACAGCGCCTCAGATTGCTTGGCATTTTCAGTGGACGTTATCGCCGTTTGCGTGGTGACCTTATCTCACGGTTTACCAACTATTAAACAACACTCATCACCCCTGCCATCACCTATTGAAGCTGAGTCACAATAGCCAACTGAGATGACATCATCACAAATTGGCAGAACAATACAGTCGGTCGCTGCGTGTTTGCCACACGTGGAATACTCTCTCAGAAGCTGTTATTTCAGCCCCCACGTTAGCCCTGTTCAGAGCACGTGTCGACAGTGCACTTGCCATGCTACACCATATCATGTAATCCAGACGACGGATGCAAACAGCAGAAAAACAAAACAAACCAACCCACTTCCATTTTTGCTCGGAAGCCACAGACGATAAGTTTGGAAAGCAGTACATAAAACGGACGGGAACGCTGTAATCAGTAAGTTCGCAATTTGCAATTGTTTACTATTTCCTATTGCCATTTTTGCCTTTATTTTGCTCCTCCCTAATCGATCATCTGGCGGAACATTTCAGGATTCGACTTTTTTCAATCATCTTTGGACACGATAGTGAATAACGAGCTAAAGTCGAAAGTAACCATCATTCCATCTGAGGTGGTCAGGCCTGCTACCTTTCGCACAAACATATTGGTTCTCCCTGTTAGAGGTTGCAACAAACATGCAAAATACCTGGTTAGTTCATGTGTCAGAGAACCGATCCCATCTATAATGGACCGAACGGGAACATCGGGTTTACGTATCTTCGGTAGCCTCTAGATCCTAGGTGGAATCGTTGATTTCGGATATACGTTATACCATATGCTCGGCCCTAGGTAGTCCTTCAAACCCAGGTAGTTTCTGACCTCTGTTTTATTCGTGGTGGACGATACATTTTTTTCTCAATCACTTTACAGTGCCCTGTTAGTAAGTACTGTTCTATTTTTTCCACATAATTCGACCTATTCATAATCATTACGAACTTACTTTCATCGACTTTCGTGATGATGATGGTAGTATCTGTCCCTGGGGCCTTTTATGCAGTACACCCTGCTGTTGTAAGATTTGACTCCCCAGACTTCTACTTGCGCACGAATATTCCCAGCCGTTGAAACGGTTAATTTTGTAATCACGATTTCAACGCTATGAATAACTTCTGCACTTAGCTTAGATTATTTTACAGAAAATTTCAAACCCTTTTCAAGTGATATACTTTCTGTATCACACAACATCTCATCCGACTTATTAACTACATTGTAACAGTTACTGCTAGATTCAGACCTACCACTGAGGCTCGTGGTCCTGATAGGCACAGACATCAAATGATTGAACTTAACAAATGTAGCCACAACAAAAGTCTACAAACGCCGTGTTGTATTAAAAAGATATTGAATTCATGAATTTATAATCGATCCCACGCGTATTCTGAGAGGTTGAATGTGCGTCATCTGTTTGTCGTGTGTCTCGTTCACCTAATCGCTTGCAGTTTATCTTCTGCCACCGGCGGCCGATACTACTGACTCAAAGCCGTGAAAGATTCGACGGGACTTTGCATGCCAAAACCTCTCTCCTTTCAAGCGTAGCCGTACTATACCGTATCTCCTTCCTGTTCCATTGTATATTCTCGTGATGTGAATGCCGATTCCCCAGACCGGTTATTCGGTCACGCCTTGTGGTACTGTGCTCATCTGCATTCTGTTCACACTCCCAGATGACAGAAGTAGCATCATCTTCCTCATCGTTGTGGCTAGAAATTTATCAGCACCACAATTACATTCACCGCCGCGCGAATGAATTTGTTTCTGACTCAAGGCAACATCGCTTCAGACGGTGTACTTTCGATCTCCAATCATATATCAGGTCATCACCTGGCGTTGGAACTGTGTGGTTTTGTTGCATTTAAAATACCTGGAGACCATACAGATGGCAGCCCATTCGAAAACAGCTTGAATGAGTCCCAACACAGCGAATTTTGCTTGACCTGAAATCTCACACCCCCTCCTCGTAGGTGCTGGACAATGCTATTATGCAAATCATGCGATCGGTTCCGGTTACTGTATACAATGAGTCAAGCAATTTGGTCTACGGAAGCACAGAGGACTAAGGTGTCTTGTGAATGCCTTAGTCCGAATTACCGCCTGTATTGCCACGTTAAATTCACTTGCCTCACCCTCGTTACTTTTAAGAGATTACTAACACTGGAGAAATGGATTGCGCAGCGAAGACACGGTAGAATCAATGCCTGATTTTTGGAGTAGTTAGACAGCAACCAATGATGTGGACGCTTCGGCTAATTTCATCCACAATGAGAGCATGTATTTGTTCAACCTTGTCTCTGTTGCTTTACGCATCCTATGCCATCGGTCTGCAGTCTCGGTTTTTCACTTAACCAAGCTTAGGGCTTAGAAGCAATCCACACCGAAATAGGCAATAGTCGGGCGTACGGAGAAAGTGGCCTAACTTGGTTATAACGGTTAAGTTCAGTAGACGATCTCGAGCAGTAGTATCCACCAGTTACCGTAGTCCCCTTGACATCATGTCGCATCTGTCATGCCCGTTTTGTCTGACAAAGCAGGTCGTACTGTAACATCTCACAATATGCATTCCACTTTGCCATCTGTACAGGTGAATGAGGCTCTTGGGTGATCACACAAGTCTTACCGATACACACAAAAAGCATCATAAGTGACGCATCAGCCCAAATGGTTAAGCTGATTGATTACTTGTAGTGTTTTCTCTCTGACAGCGAGTATTGTGGGTTGTTCAGCCCGGCTATGAAGCGGTGTGTTATGTTTCCAAAGTGTAGAATGCTCCAAATTCAGGTTTGCAGCATTCTGCGACAGACGATACATGGGCTAGATCCGATACTGTGTGCTATATCTTCGATTGCCAAGTCCAATTTATATTTTTTTGCTTGAGATAAACAGTTCTGCCACAAATGTACTTTATCCTGGCAAATGTTTATGGAGGGTATTTGGCTAAATTTATGCTGGCATTCCTCCGCCTAAAACGCCGTGCTGATTATCCTTCCACCCAGTGATTAAAATGTATCTTTCAAGTTTCTTTCCGGTTGACCTGTATTCGCTGTCTTTCTGTTGCCTCTTGTCGGCTTATATTGTTTCGGTGCTCCCAGTCAACGACATTAATCCTATGGCAGTTCTCGCTGATAAACAAACTAAACTACGTTTCGGTCACACGCATATTTAAGTATATATCTGCATACCGGTTATCGTTAATGGTACTGAAGAGGCAGTACGAAATGCTTGCGTCTATTAGCTCTCGTCCTCTTAGCATGCTTTTTAAACTACGTTTCTCGATTGCTTGCTAGCCCACGTAGGATGCCTCACTTTGTTTTGAGTGGACACAGCTTACACCTGCTGCGAGGGAAATCGATTCGACTTGAGTTTACGCTGTTCATCCACGAGGAACACTTTTGCCAAGTCCATGTGTCAACTTTGGAGTAAGGAAACGCCGCCCATTTGGTCACCACGATGCGCTTCATCCTATTGGATATTGACCGAACCAAAGTAGCACACCGTTGGGATTGCCGTCAATTCATCGAATTCGCAACTGATATGGAAATTGCGTGAGACATTTATTAGGTCCTCGAATGGTGAGAGAATTCCAGTGGAATAGGCTGTAAGTTTTATCATGGGATGAACTGCATGCGATGCACATGATAACAAGTGCGACATTAAAATATCGCCTGCGAGAAATCTGGAAACTACATATGTACGAGTGACATCAACATCAACTTACTTGATATGAAGTACTGAAGCGCGAGGATTACAATAGGCCTTCATAGTTCCCGTATCCTGTTACCACGATAGCCGGGTTAGTATACGACGTTCCACGAGTGCGACATAATTTCCCTGTCGATCAACCCGCTATCTGATACGAAACGTCTAAACGACAGATGACCGTCCCAATGACAGTTTCCCTAACTTTTTATCACTTTAGTACTGCCATCTGATGTCCATCTCACCACTGAAATACCTTGGCTTTACTGAGAAAGACTTCTCAAGTTGTCTTCTTCTGAGCGATTTTGACTATATACCGACTGACTTTACTTCCACACTGACTGAAATGAAAACATTTGACAATGTATCCATGCAAAAACATCGTATTGTGTTTGACTATAACTTGATATCTGTACATTAATATATGGGTATAGCCAGAGGCCGGAAATCCATGTAGTGGGTCAGCGAGCACTTTGCACAAGGTATGATGAAGCGAAACCACGTGATTAAAAAAGTAGAACGTAGTACATAAATAAGTACACTTCTGAAGACAGCAGAGGAGCGAAACACGTTCACCTCACCTACGTGGGATGTGTGAACGCACTTGTGTATCAGACAGGAAACTGATCAACGTAGTTGAGGAGGCAGAGGAATAAAAAGGAATAACTGATTCTCTGTATGGATTGCAACACCTTGTTTCCGTCATATATGTGGACTGTACAGACTGAGAAATACGAATATTTTATCATACACCAGAGGTACGAATATCTTTACTTCGACTCGAGTGTGTGCTTAAACTTAACACGACTCGGTGGCCCATGTGCACAGTTGTAGCAGCTGCATTCGTGCATATTGTGACTTGTCGATTTATTCGCAAAGTCTGATTTCGCTTTCTCTAGCCATTCCATCTGTTCGGAAATCTTCGCACGCACGTTGAAATCGGACTGACAAGTGGTTTTGGATAGCGCATGCTGGCCTTGGTGATCTTGTCCCCAATCTCTACAGGAACGCTCATATACTTTCGGCCAGTCGATCAAGTGCCGCGGTGGAGCAGTGGATTTTCGACAAGTGTATGGTAACACTTCATTAGCTGTGTGGGACACTTTACCAATCAGGTTTCTGCTCGAGAAAGCAGGTGCGCCATTTGCTGTGTCTAGCCCTTCTTGCTGCACTTGTGCTGTTAGGATTCGGTTCAAATTGCCCGATATCTGCTGCAGCGAAGCGAGGATTTGTTGTAGCATCATAGGGGAATTACAGGCTGGGTGTGCGCAGTTATCCACGTCTCGTGGACCGTTGAAATTTTCACATGTCCTAGAATGGTCATCCGATGTGTTCGGCACCGATTTGCTCGTCGACTCATCACTCAGAACGTGGACGTTTTCTTGTCGTCTTTTCGTCATCGGATTAGCCTTCTGCTCACACGATTCATCAGTCTGGATTGGAGAGGAGGCATCAAGTTCGTCCTCCGTATCGTTATTGTAAAGAGGAGCATCTGCTGATCGAGCCCGGTTGTCGGACAACTCAAATGGCTGTCTAACAAGTCTCGCAGAAGACGGTCTGTCTTCTGTTGCCACTTTATGTCGACGCCTTTTGTCCACTACCTCCGGATGCATCCGAGAGGGTCGACTCGATGGTGTGCGCAATCTTGATGTGCTCAGGTGTAGCGTTGAGTCATTCGCAAACGGTGCAGGCTCTTGCGAGAGATTGTTTGCTAGTGGTAACGAGTTTGCCAGAATTTTCATACGTGCTCGGTTACGATATGTATTTTCTCTGCAAAAGCGTAGAGGCCAGTCGTCGGCTATTGCTGAGGTAGCGTGCACATCGTGCGGCGTTCGATGAGACTTCCGTAGCCTGTACTGGTAAGTTAACTGATTCTCTTGCTGACGATAGGGATCGATCAGTTCTGAGCAGTCTGATAAGAGTTTGGCTCGTCTGGGCATTTCATCTGGGAAACCATCAGGTCGACACTCTCGAAATGCGGACGCAGCGTCCGAGTAATTGTAGAGGAATGGTGTTGACTGATGAAAATCCCTTCCATGCAAAGACATCTCCGAGATAGGGTTGCCGAATTTGGAATTCATCCGTTTCCCCGATGTGTACTGTTCGTGAACTATCCTGATGACTCTATCTGTAGCCTCCGCTTGAATTTCATCCTGTTGGACTGTATACCCATTGCCCGTGTGGTTCTTTTCATAATTTCCTGCTTCACTGGGCGTATCTTTCACCGCATCCGTTTTTCCTCGAGAAGACCGAACCGTCACGTCATTTTTGACCGTCTGCTCAGGGGCCGAATTCAGCCCGGAATACCAGTTTTCATGCACGGGCCAGTTGTGGAGGTTGTTTTGTTGGGGGACTCGCTTTATTGTGTTGCACACGTCTAGGTTCTGTGTGCTCAAAGATTTCCTCCGCAAGCCAGTCTCAATTCTGTTTAAGCGACTCAGCTGTTCTCGGTTTTGCGAAGCTGGGAGTTTCTTAACTGCTTTCATTGGCTTCGAAACTCGTACCAATCGCTGCCTCTTCGTATTTGTCTCTGTCACTTTTCCGTTCGTGCAACAATTGTCCAGCCTATTATGTCGTGAGATTCGCCACCGCGATCTCTCTTGAGCTGCAAGGTCGCGATAGTATACGTCACAGGGATGCTCCCAAATTGACTGGCCCGTGGCGAAATTAAAGTAATAAATGTCCCCAGTCACATCTTGACAAGGTTTCCACTCCGGAGGTAAAGCGGCAGTTAGGCCCTCCTGGGCAAGATACAACAGCTCCGGTTCTAGTTCGGGGTCGATCCCTATCAGGCGGGCGTAGCTGAGTATATCATCATCCGATGGTTCGTAGGAGATATCGTATTGTTCCTCAAGTACCAATTGGCCATTCTCGAACAGAGTCATTCCGATGATATCTGTGTGTAAAAGATAGGTGAGTGATGAGATGATTCGCTTTGATTCAACTGGCATTACTCCTAGATTATTAAAAACAGCAGTACATAGTTGTAGTATAACCACAATACCAGAAGAGATGGGAACCTTGTGTGAAACCCAAACATCCCAAGCAAACCTTCAGCATCAAGAGGTTGACATCTTGTCAACGTCATACAGTCCCAAATAGTTGGCTATCGCCTAGAGATTAGGCGTCATCGGTGAAAAACTTCCTTGCGGCTTTCACTGTTCTGCATCCGTACCAACCATTACTCGCAGATAACTCCGTGTCAGACACATCTTAAACAGGAAATTCGGCTACGACCAATGTCCTGTAACGTCTCGAGCCAAGCATAAGACAGGTTACGTGAACCACAGCCTAAAAGGTGAAACGGACCGACAGCACCAAATTTACTCCTCAGTGACTTCATCTGCCGATGCCAAGTCAAATTTTGTCTGCATCGAGTCTTGTGCCCTCCAACATTCGGCAAACCGAAAAAGACTCTTCTCGGCACGTGGTGACCGGGTATACGGGGCGCGTGCTCAAATTAACGCGTTGCTCAACATTAATTATTCTAAAGAACTGATTGCACTATCTCCGCCTAGTGCTCGCATTCGCATGGCATTGTTACACTCACACTGGTGTCATTGAACACTAGTAATGTCTCGCAGACAGCGATGATCAAAGACCAGAAGATGCTTAAAATCCAAAAACCGAAGGGCCCAAGTCTCACTCCCATACAGTAAGACGGTTCGCACCGTTGACTTATACACACGGTCTTTCAGACCAGGATAGTCCCTTCTGAAACCACAGCTGTGGTTAGTCCCAAAAAATGGTTCAAGTTTTCGCAATACTTTATCTAGCCTCAATACTCAAACACCCATTGTTGGTAATGCAGCTGCCAAGATAGGTGAATTTATCAACTACCCCCAGGTCATCATCATCTTGATTCAGTGGGTCATCAAACGACTGGCGGTTATTTGAAGGTACGAAGCTTCAGAAGGTTTATGGGGGTTTGATAGTACCGCGTGATAACTCTTGAGCAGCAAGACGATGTCGTCCGCATAATCCAGATCAACCGATTCCTACTAGGTAGGACCTCACCATCTACATCGTAAGCTTCCGTGCGCTCCGGGGTTCTTCGAAACCCAATCATGGTGCACTCGATGTCAAAGGCTATCTAACCCTCCATTAGACTGGTTTATCAGTCTTTCCTATCAGATGCATCCGTTAGTGCTCCATCGAAAATCATCTGAGTTGCTGTTGGAAGGCAGCAGCTCCGAAAGTCTTCGGATGCGGTCCTAATGATTTAAATGGCAGTGGCTTGCTTGAAGGAAAAACTAAACTCCATCAAGATTGCGTGTCAAAATCCAAGACCCAACAATGAATTATCGTGGTTTAAAACAGTGGAGTTTCACTTCCCTTGAGAAGTCTCACGATGCAGGTGTTAAAGTGCTACCTGGTGAAAAACTAGTTGATCTTGATTATGCGGACCATACTGTCTTGCTTTTTAACGAGATAGGGGCGGCACAATCAGCCCTGAATAACCCATCTAGAGTGGCCTCGTTATTTGACATGCGCTCTGCAAATTGTTGCAGGAGGACCACCGGATACTCGATGCCTCATTGACTCTTGATGGTGAGGAACTCGAGGTTGTTGATCAATCCACTTACCTTGCAGCTGCATCAGCAACGATGCGCACATAGCAACTGAAGTCAGTTCACGCTATGCAAAAGTCAGAACTGTCTTCTTGAATCTGCGACAGCTGTGGCAACAGAAAGGAGTTTCCTCCGTCTGAATGGCCATGTTTCCAAGATCACAGTGAGGGCCATCCTACTTTATGAGAGTGAAACTTGGCCTCTTCGGTCTGAGGATTTGAAACGCCTTCAATCCTTTGATCATCTCTGTCTACCAAGCATTGCGGGCGTCAGGTGGCATCAGCGTGCCCGCAAAGATGATGTGCGTAGGCGAGTACTAGGCAGTGATAACCAAGCTAGTTCCTTAGAACAACAGATAGCACTGAATAAGTTGCGGTGGCCTTGGCACGTACTACGTATGCCTGGTCACCGCTTACCGAGGACGGCCTTACCTTGTTTGTCAGATGGAGGATGGTGCAAGACTCGAGGTGAGCAAAAGTTAATTTGACAGTGGGAAATGGAGTCACTAACGACCCAGCTCAGTGCCGTCGGTCCGTTTAGCCTTCAAGGCTGGAGTTCACGTGACCTGCCTTGTGCTTGGCTGGAGACTTTGCGGGACATGCCTCGCAGTCGACACCAGTGACATGTCTGCTGTCGTCTCCTAGTCTGCCTGTTTATAGTGGGCTGTTGCTGTGTTATCTGCGGGGGAATGGCTAATTATGACACGAGGCAGTGAAAACCGCAAGGAAGCTGTCTCGCCGATGCCTTGCACGATAGCCAGCTGTTTGTAATAATATGTTGTTGATACAAGGTGCAAGCGCCTTAACCCTGAATGTTTGTTTAGGGCCTAAAGCTTTTATGCTAGGTCTCCCTCGTACCTATTATTCATTGTTCCGTAGGCCACCATGCTTGTACGGCAGCGAAGCATCATTTCAAATGGCATCTGTGGCGTCATGGTGACATTTCACTCTCGGTAGAGGGCAGAGTCTACAATACCTGTGTTCACGCGGTACTGTTGTATGGAAGCGAGTCCTGACCAATCCGTACAAATGAATTTGCGCCGGATTTCGACCTTTGACAACGATTGTCTGCGCAGGAAAGCTCGTGTGTGACGGGAACATCACTTTTGCAACGACGATGATAAAGATTTTGCCTTCTCGACAAGTTAAGACTGCTGCGCCAACTGAGGTGGCTATATCACCTCTTACGCATGCCGTACGAGCGTTTACCACGACGCGCTTTATTCGCTTGCACATGGCCGCATTGGAAGAAATCGCGTGGTGCTCAACCTACCACGTGGTAACAAAACGTCAAGGAGCTGACTTCAAGTCTAGCTGTTGTCGGTCCTTTAGATTTCCCGATCCAGGGAGGCAAGGATGAGAACTTCGCTGACTGGAAACCCTTGAGAAGATGGCGGGCAATCTAGATCAATTTAAGCTTTGTATGCATGTATACAACGATTCTTCTGATCAACACCGCTACCATTAAACTGATAAAATGAAAGTGCAACTTTTCTATCCGTTTTTCTCTTTGTGATTTTCGAACCTGTAACTCACATTCATTCCGTGACTTAAGATGGCTCTGTCTGTTATAAAGACAATTGCTCTATTATTATTATTATATTATTTTCGGAACAATAGTTGGTCATCCGTACGTCGGTGGTTATTTCCGCCGTACTTTGCTCCACGGAGGTAGCAAATGTTAGATGTGCATTATACGAACAAAACACGTAGCCTCAATCTAGCTTGCGAGTCGCAATCTAGACACATGGCGGGTACTCCAAGACCCAATAAGGAAAAACCCATTGAAGTTCACTATTCTCGCTGTCGGCAGTCGCTATGCTAGCCACAGTTCTGAATACAATCTGGTAAGCGGCATAGTGATTCGAGCGCCAAGCTTGTAACCTACAGACTACCGGTTCTAGTATGAACAGGCGTAGGCGAACTCGCAATATTCTCAACCTGCATGCGACTGCTGATGTTTGTGTGTCTGACAACGAAACACCGGTACAACTTACCTGCTGATGCCATTTTCTCCCTTTTTGACATGGCCAACAAACTTTGACCAATGATAAAAGTTTTACTTTTAGCCTTCTTTTTTCTATTCGAAGCAACTTCGTCCATATTCAAAACTTTCCTAATTCAGGCAGAAAAGGGACAAAGACACCAACCGGTACGTCGTACCGACGCTCTGCTGCCACGCAACCACCACCAGTCGCGCTTGGGCTAAGGATACTGTGAGGGTCACCCGGACTCCTATGCAGGCTCGAACAGGTGACCTCTGGGTTGCAAGGCAGATGCCATGGCGTTCCGGCCACAGGCTAGCTTTTCTGATAGAAATCAATAGTAATAAGCCTCTCATGTCTCAAAAGGCTGAAGTTGAATTACTCGTATGATTCTACCACGCTCCGCTGCGGGGCTTGCCCAGTCATATATATGTCCACTGTGTGAGAAACACTCAGAAAAGGTGCTAACGAGTTTCCGAGTAGCTGGGCACTATGAGGGAATCGCGACAATACTGTGTTCACTGCGGCCAGATGAAGACCAATAGCATATCCGACGTGCGACTTTAAAATAGTTACTAGGAAAACAGTGCACCTGTCGCATTTGAAGAATACCGCCTCATAGCGGAACACCACGGTTTAAACCTGCAGCTAGGTACATCCAACATGGTGCTAACGAGGAGGAGTTAGTTAGGTGAGAAGGGCGACTACAGACCACGTTCTCCTTATCCACTTGCGTTTCCGTGTGTGGCTGAAGATGCTCTATCGTCATTCATGACTTTCTCAGCGGTTGCTAAATGCTCACAGACGCACGTCCCATTTGGTTGACAAATATCACGAAAAAGCAACGTCCGAAATGCGCATGTAAGCCCTCCTGGAATTACCAATAAGTGGGCATAATATCCTTGGTTTCCATAAGTATTGATCCAGCGTCTGCCATTAGCATTCAGAAATCAATCAATGCCAAAATCTCTGGTCTTCTGATCATCCGCGGCTTTCGCGTGGCAAGCAACCACATCTCCGTGCGAGCTGAGTTTAGCCAAAGCTGTTCCGGAAACAGAAAGCAAGTTATTGATTGCCAGGTTTTGAAGTTCCCACCATATGTCTGGATGGCGATACGGTTTGGGGCCATGGTTTACATTTAAGTGAACCTCGGATCGCATCAGAATTTGAAAGTTTCGGTTCTTCTCCCTCTCCAGAACCCGCACTCTGCCTGATGAGCTCAAAACAGGACGAAACCCGTCATGAAGTACATGGTCGGAAGGGAGAAGCTCCAAACATGTAATTAATGCACCCACCCTATCCTTTTTCAAAAAACGCCTTGACGATACTGTCATATCTACACTACGTGCTATAGCTCATGACCACCAGATGCTGGCACTAATGTACAACAGAGAGT